ACTGATGTCGACAGCTTTGATAAGAACGTAACTCATGCCAGGGGCGAAATTTTTCGTAAGGCAACATGTATTTTCCCGAGATGTATATAGCGAAGCTTTCGCGTCAAATGAATCGTGTTGTAACCCGAGTCTTTCATGAACATATTTGTCCCAGCTCGAAGAAACTGGTTTAGTGTGACGTAGGTTCAGTCTGAAATCCCCTGTAGCAAGACGAAATATCATAGACTGGCGGTGTTGATTAAGATGTGCAAAGCAGTAGAACCACTGGATACTATTTTCTTTGCGGTTAGCAGTTTGAACTTCCGAAAATCCTAGCAAGGACCGGGGATTTAAGGGGTAATAAGTAGCAAATACTACTGTAACATTTTTTATGTATGTGTATATAACTAACTAGATGGCTTACCGAACCCAAAGGTTCATCACCGAATTAACCAAAGCCCTCCACCGGACCCTGTCCTGGGCCAACAAAATCCAGTTTCCTTCAACTCCTATCTCCTGTAGATCCCGCCTGAGATTATCCTCCCATCTCCGTCTAGGTCTCCCCAGCGGTCTCTTCCCCTCAGGCTTCCCAACCAATACCCGGTGCACACCTCTTGCCCCATCCATGCGCGCTACATGCCCCGCCCATCTCATATGTGTATATATGAGAGAATACAAATTACAATGTGGCGCACTAGATGATACCCGATTGAAAATTTAAATAAAAGCTTGTTATATATACTCGTATGAATAAAGAGAACAGAAGATTTACCCTTCATGGATTCATGCTCAGTATGACCAGCCTTCTGTCGTTTTTACTTCGAAACACGGGCGGCACACTTCTTCAGTAACTTCAGCACACATTTGAATACTCGAAGTCGTCATTTGCATTATTGAGGCTGTTTTTTTCGGGGGAGTTACAATTTTCTTTCAGGGTAGAAGTCGAAGGGGTTTCTGTCAGGGCTCTTTGTGGCCATCGATATCCTGCTCGTCATGGATGTGGCCATCCACCATATTATGAATTATCATTTCACTTTCCATTCTGTATAAATGTCCTCAATGTGCAGTATTCTGTTTCCTCCTGCCATTTTATCCCTTCAGGTTCAAATAATCTCAGTACCGTGTTCACAGCACCATAAACCTGTTTTTCTCCATTAAAATGTGGCCTTGTAGTATGGCAAGAGTTTACCAACGTTTCAGAGGTGCTTTCTTGTCAGTGCGATGAGGATGCAGGCAGCAAACACCTCTATGGATCGCAGTTACGCCTCGCACGTATGCAAGCCATTTCACAGAATTATTAAGAAAGAAGTATATAAAAGATGCAGTTACTGAATAGACGTAAACCTTTTTCTGACTCACAGCAACAAAATTGCCAAGAGTCAAATATTCCCTGGATTGAAACACTAGCATTACCGTCGGCCATAGTGATAACTAACTTCTGATTGTCTTCAACCGTATAATACAGGCAACTCTTGGTTTACGAACGAGTTTCGTTCCAAGACGTTGTTCGTTACGTGTATCTTGCATTCCTGAGCGTTTAAGATATGTGTTGTTTATGTTAGCAGCCATATTAAAGCAATAAAACCACGTACTAAACATCGCAAGCAAGTGATTATCATATTATATTATAATAGGGGGAATTTCCGATTTCTTTCCCACGAGAAAACATTGTACGAGGCGTGGCATGTAAACCAAGGTTTTCTTACTGGATAGATTAGTTTTATTAACCAAGAACAGTTCAGTATAATAATTTTCTGATAATTATTATAATAAATATTTTTTTAAAAGTTTATTTATTTAAATCTTACAATTATGTTCACTATTCGTTTGACATTTCGTTTTATAAGGAACTATCTATTGGCGACTTTAAGAAATTTTGAATGAATTGTGACGTTTGTTATAGCAAATGTTCGTAAACCGAGAGTTGCCTGTACATATATTGGGCCAACCAACCAACCAACCAACCAAAGGGGTCTAGTAGGAAAAATTCCAACTTTTATAGAAATTTGGGAATAGCTGCCCGATGTTTACTTTAAGTTAGTTCAAAACAATGTTTTCAGAAACTAGCTCTACGAATTATAATTTAGTTTTAACCTATAAAATTATAGATTTCTTAATTTACGAAAGCGCCTTACCACTTTTTCCGAATTAAGTACTTACCTTAATACGAAATTGCCTATAGATTTTTCGAAAAATTCCTTCCATTTTTCTCACATAAAAATAATACAAAATAAAAAATGTTTCTTCCGGTTATATCTGAATGTGGTTGTGTTATGCAAACCAAGAATGTCACGAAATTAACTTACTTAGGACGAAGCAGCGTCTACCGTGAGAATCTGACAGTTGCTGTTATAGATCCCGATGTTTCATACCGTTTTTATAATAACATTCTTACTTCTATGCCTAGATCTAACAAGAGAGCACTTCTCTTATAATGTTGTAAGGTTTTTTGACGTAAATACGTCTATATTTTAGGGTCAGTGTCATTCGTGAAAAAGTGGAACGAAAAAGTGTAACTTCATTATAATGTTACCTAGGAAACGTCGTCTGTTTACTCGGCATTATTGCTACCTAGGAAACGTTACATTACATTTAATTACATTACATTAAAATACATTACTTTACATTACATTCATCTACCACAGGCCGTGGTCTAGGAAACACGGAGTTTTCCTCCGGGGGCTTCCCCGGTTTCTCCGTGGCATCCCAACAATTACTCCATTCACACACAGAAGAAGGCAATGGCAAACCACTTCTGGATCATCTGCCAAGAACGTATATGAACAGGTCCTAGTCCGAGAAAATTCATCGATTACGCCAATGACATTGAAGTTAATAGTTTTGGCAGGTGTCCAAGGAAATGATTAACCATTAGGTTTATTATTCCATACAGAGAGGAATTTATTGATATTAAGAATATTATTAGTTACTCAACAGTTGCCATGCTTGCGTGCTTACTGAGTATAGCTTATAAGCAAGTCCTTTATGAATTTTCACAAAACAGGATCATGATATAAATTTTACAGTGCGTCACAAAATATTAACCTCATTTAGATATGCAAATTTGATTTTAAACTTGTTATTCTTTTAAAATATATCTAAATACTTGATTATGCAATTAAAAATTGTCTACACAGCTTATTCTAATGTCTTGCTGTTTTCTTCACAAAATTATTGTTGTGTTTAGAACTAATCTAGACCATATTTAGGTGACACCTAAGGTTTTATAATTGTACTGTGTGAGGTTTATCTCTTGATGTTTAAATTATAAAATATAATACAAATATATAAAATGCAAACATTAGATATGTAGTTAAAACATATGTTACGTTTCCTTATCTAAGAATAAAATTGCTTTAAAGCAAAGCACACTTTTATCAGTTTTGAAAGGATCCTTACATTCTAACTGTAAAATTTTGTCTGAAATAAATGAGTATGATGGTCAGTTAGATAAGCAGAACATGTTCTATCTCCACTCTTGTTCATTTAAGTAGCTGATCTCATGACGATAATTTTGAAACGACCATCGACATAAAAATGCGTACGAGGCTGAGTAAGCAGTTAACAAAACCCAGTAACGAATGGTTAGCATTCCTACTTCGTATTTTGGATGTCCAAAGTTTGAAACTTATAACGGATTTAGTCTATTGTATTTTTCGTGATTTTGCTCGCCTTGAAATGGGCCACTGCCCTTCCTGCATTCTCTCTGTTTCTTGTGCACGACCCATTGCGGACTCCCCAAATGCTTGCTTTAGCATTTCATAGGTTTCCGTAGCCGTTTTGGCAAAATTTTATGCACACGCCATTCCGAAATCGCAGGAGGGTCGGTGTAATGCACTACCGAAACGCCCGTAACTAAGAAACAAATGCTAATTCGATGATGCCGGCTGGCACACTGATTCACTATGAATGTAGGCCGCACCCCCTAGCGGCAGAAGCTCGTACTACATCCGGTTCGCCCTCTATTGACAGTCTGTAAACTTTCCGATCGCACCTCTTATGTACTCCTCTCATCTAACAGTGTGCTGCAGTTGATATGACGTCGTTAATTAACCTTTAGAAACCGAAAAATAAGAGAGCTGGAAAGAGAAAGTCGAGAGACATTACGGTAGAGAAAAGTAAAGAAATTGCTTTGGGATGTGAGCACTCCCAGTAAGGTCCCCGTTGTCTTTCCATCTTAGGCCAAAGACCATTAAACAAGACTGCAAAGACGTTCTTCGTACTGGAATACGTATCTATCTTCTTTGCAATTGTTGAATAGTTGATAAAAGATTACGTTATTTATCTTACTTGAACAAACTTAGTTTTAAATTATATAAACCACGTGTCTTCGTATCTTTGTGTTCCGTAATAGTACGTCACAAGGCGCAGTGGGTTGCATAATTGAATCCTGGTGAAATTCTTTTTCACGTAGCCGCCATGTTGTTATCTAGAATTCTTTTTCTAAAGTTTTGTATTTTCCAAAAATCTATCACTGTATGGCACTATTAAAGTGGCGTTAGTGTCGATCCGACCTTACAAGTTTGTTAGTGTTACTTATAGTAGCAAATTGTGAAGTACAATCTTAAGGTAACCCCAGTGGCTACTTCCGTACCAAGTTTCATCCAATCCTTCCAGCGTTTCTGGAGTTGAGTCATGCCGATAGACGGACGGACAGACAGGACCATCCCTTATGCATTCAATTCATGCACATCACGCAAAGAACGCATGATAATACTTAAAAATTCAGTCCCTACCTCAAAGAAAATCAAATACGTCTCTGTTACAAAGAACAGATGGTTAATGCTTTTTAGAATGTGTCACTGTTGTTGACTCTCAGAATTTCACGAAACCTATAAATACATTCTGTGGGGAAAAATGTAGAATTAATGATAATCAGATAATGTGGTACATATAGTTACCATCAGGTTTTAAAAGTTTAAACAGTCGACCGCAACGAGATTTTGAATGACCGCGGCCATAGGCCAATGACTTGATTTTCGTGGGAACGGTCCGTTTGTAATGTCCGGTTCTCTTTTCAGACTTCAACCCGGAACACTGTTGGTCGGCCAGGGCTGCTGTCTCCATGGTGCTGAGTTCCAATTCTAACGGCTCGTCCACCGGGTCCACTATAGGAGCAAATTGTGTTCGGTAAGTGTTTTAGTCCTTTAATCTTATGTTTGAACTGAGGCACGTGGTGCAGAACTTTGGATCTAATATATTTACAATGCACTATCAACGGTGATAAACTCGTAAGTTAAGTTCCCAGTCTCGCCGCATTTAGAACGTCATTGTTTGTCAACCGCCATTGTTTAATCAACATTCACTGATAAGCGTCTCGGAGATAAAAGTAATCAGTTGAAGTTTATGACACATTTTCGCATGAAAATATGAATGTTAACATAACTACTATACTCCTATATACAGTTAACTGCTCTCCATCGCATATGATTTTGAAAAAAATCAGCCTGGTTTGTTTTATCCAGCGTTTGCAAGCGTGTAACCCCGTGGTCACAATCTCATGTATGCTGTTACCACGTTAACTTGTGTCGTATTGGTGAGATATCAGGTTCTGACAGTGGCGGATACGAATATTACTGTTTCGTGGGTTGGTAAGTCGTGTAGTCTGGTAGAAGTTTTAACAGTGTTTCAGAAATGTTTGCAAAATCTGTAATCGGCCAGATGCTGGACTATATGTCGCAACAATCCCAGAAGACAGTTGTCGTCTTGTGTATTTTTTGACGTGAAAACGTCTTTAAAATCAGACCGACATATGGGGAACCAGGACGGAAACGGCGATGTAACGTTTGCAGGGTGATCCATTCCGACACTATAACACGATTGAAATAAATGTGGTCTCGTTCGATCGGGTATACGACTACGATGCGAGCATGACCTTGAGTTGGCGCCGCGCATGCGCGAGGCGCGGGTGGGGGCCCGCGGCGACTGGCGGCTATTTTGGGCATGGGCGAAAATTTCCGGGCAGTATATCTCGCGACTCCGATGTGCTAGCGCGCTGATTTTGATGCCAAACGAAAGATCTCGTCTAGATCTGTCGATTTAAGCCACAAAAAGTGAGCTTTTGTAAAATATTTGTTGGTGACAAATCAAAAATAAGTCGTGAAAAATTTAAAATTTCTGATGTCGGCCCATACTCACCGAAAAGCCCAGAGGAATTACAAGCAACGCATCTCATCGGAAAGGGCGTCTAATCAGCCGTCGATCAGTACCGCCATGTCCGTGGCGGAACGAGTGAGACGGCTTCGGGAACGTCGGAAAATCTGTTCGTCGCGGGCATTTTGCTGCAAAAAATAGCGCTATTAGTATTCCAGGCTGCAAAGGAGAATAGTTATTCAAGGTATTGTCATAAAAAAGCACTTTCATCGCAGTTTGTGTTCAAGGACGACTATTGTGTCTTTTATTTCCAAGAAGGGGAAAGTGTCGTGCTGCTGTCTACCATGCACGTCGACAAAAAGTTAGTGAGTTAATGAAGAAACTTGAAAAAAAAACATCCATCTCTTTATTTCAGTGAAAACTGGCTTTGACAATTGGTGTGTTATTATACATTTAATCAGAGCGAAACCTTTTGGGAAAGGGATAACTAACTAACTAGATGGCTTGCCGAACCCGAAGGTTCATCACCGAAGTAACCAAAGCCCTCCACCGGACCCTGTCCTGGACCAACAAAATCCAGTCTCCTTCAATTCCTATCTCCCATAGATCCCGCCTGACATTATCCTCCCATCTACGTCTAGGTCTCCCCGGAGGTCTCTTCCCCTCAGGCTTCCCGAGGGATAGAAGAGTAAAATCGAACTTCTGAAATGTCATAAATCAGTGTGCTCTAAGCACAAGAAGGATTTATGTCTTCGTTGTGTTAGGTGGATCACATTCATTGACAGATTCACTACGTGCTTGATGGAATTGTTTCAATATGGTTTTGACCAAGCGTCGTGGTCGAGTGGTTAGCACTATTGATTCGTTTTTGGAGGTCCCAGGTTCAAATCTCGGCCCGGAAACCGACTATCCTGACTTAGGTTTTTCTTGGTTTTACACAGTCCCTACCTCTTTCTTCCACATCCTTTCCTATTCGTTGTTAGTGTTAGCTACTGAAAACTCGTTAAGTAAGTATAAAGGATGTTGTCGTTATTAATGTTTCTGATACAGTAGTTAATGTTTTTTTTTATTTGTAGTGTTCTGTCTGACGACAGGTCCATATATTATGAACAGGATCCTTCCAACCTCTTCAGGTTGTCAGGGACCTGCTCATACATATATACATTCTTGGCAGAGATGATCAGAAGTGGTTTGCCATTGCCTTCTTCTGTGTGTGAGTGGAGTAATTGTTGGGATGCCACGGAGAAACCGGGGAAGCCCCCGGAGGAAAACTCCGTGATGCCTAGACCA